ACTTACCAAGAATGTCAGTAAGACGGTGCACTAACGTACCTGTTGTGTCAGTAAGACGGTGCACTAACGTACCTGTTGTGTCAGTAAGACGGTGCACTAACTTACCAAGAATGTCAGTAAGACGGTGCACTCACCGACTTACCATCATTCAAACTGGTGGAGAACAACACAGTGTTTAAATTAGATTTTAAAATGTATGGTTTTTTGATTTATATAACTTTTAACATGTGGTCTATACTGATAATAAATCCTATCGATTATTATTAACTGTGAACGTTGTACATACCCGTGATTCGATCAATACGGATGTCATTCTTGGAACCGGAAGTGATGTAATATTCTATTTCGGAGTTAATACCCTTGGCATCAGCGTCATGGGCGATAACTTGAATAACCTTAGTTCCGGGCTTCGATGTCTCCGGCAACAGGACGAACAACGGACCGTGCTGGAAGACTGGGGCATTGTCGTTCTCGTCTTCCACCGTAATGGTGAGGTAAGTGGAAGAACTCAAGTTGCCTAGATCAGTTGCTGTCACCTAGTGGAGAAAAAAATTTTTAACGGTAGGCCTAAGAAACTTTAATTATTTTGTGGAGTATGCCTTTTATCAGTGTTTTTTTTATGTGGCAGAAACTGGCATATCATTTCAGTTAGTGGCTTAGCTTTGTGGGTCAGGGGTAAGTATATGTTAAGATTCGGGGTTCGATTCTTTATTTTTCTCTGAAACGTCACAGTATTGAAACATTTAATTTTTAAATCCTCGCCATAACACCACATAATTCTTACTTGGATGCACGTGCACCCATTGCTAATGAAACGCATGCGCCGATATATAATCAGCTTCAATTAAAACACTACTTAAGTAGCCGATATATAATCAGCTTCAATTAAAACACTACTTACGTAGCCGACATATAACCAGCTTCAATTAAAACACAACTGACGTAGCCGATATATAATCAGTTTCAATTAAAACACTACTTACGTAGCCGACATATAATCAGCTTCAATTAAAACACTACTGACGTAGCCGATATATAATCAGCTTCAATTAAAACACTACTTACGTAGCCGACATATAATCAGTTTCAATTAAAACACTACTTACGTAGCCGATATATAATCAGCTTCAATTAAAACACTACTTACGTAGCCGATATATAATCAGCTTCAATTAAAACACAACTGACGTAGCCGATATATAATCAGCTTCAATTAAAACACTACTTAAGTAGCCGATATATAATCAGCTTCAATTAAAACACTACTTACGTAAAGGTCGTACTTCTCTTTCCTCTCCCTGTCAAGCACAGCGTGGGGTTCCTGTGGTGAAAACACCACCGCACCGTTTTCACTGATTGCAAACAGTTCGCTGCCCGAGCCGCCGAGAGAGTAATGAACAACCGAATTATTCCCACTGTCGTTGTCCACAGCTGATATCGAGGGGTGCTGATAAAATATCGGAGATTGAAATAAACACGACACTAGCTACAATAAGAATAGTGTCTGTAGATTTGTGTGTTCCATGTTTTTAACAAGAATGTTTAGTTATTGTTGTTGCCTGTGAACTGTGTAACGAAAAGAACGAATGAAATTAATTAGGACTTACGACGAGTACGGGAGTACCGGGCGGGACGTTTTCTTTCACGGAACCTTTATAGGACTGGCGGAATGTTGGTACCTCGTCGTTCAAGTCTAGAACTTCAACAGTCACTTCACTTACACTCTGTAGAATATTAACAAAATCCAGAGTTGTATACACTCTCCTACTTATAGGTGTGTTACTGTCAACACGTGTACTGACATGAGTAGAATATTAACAAAATCCAGAGTTATATACACTGTACTTATAGGTGTGTTATTGTCAACACGTGTACTGACATTTGTAGAATATTAACAAAATCCAGAGTTATATACACTGTACTTATAGGTGTGTTATTGTCAACACGTGTACTGACATTTGTAGAATATTAACAAAATCCAGAGTTATATACACTGTACTTATAGGTGTGTTATTGTCAACACTTGTACTGACATTTGTAGGATATTAACAAAATCCAGAGTTATATACACTGTACTTATAGATGTGTTATTGCCAACACTTGTACTGACATTTGTAGGAATATTAATACGTCGTTTCACAACACTTAATACCATTTTAAGTTTCCAGCATTAATTTCAGAGCAAACGTAGACTAAAGTTATAATTTAATACAAAATACGTCTTAACCCACCTTTTCGGAACATTGACCTCTATAACACGAGAAAATTAATACATTAAAAACCTGGGGGATTTTCTTTCTAGCCCTTAACCTCCTTTCTGTGAAAGAGTTTATATGAAGCAATTATCAAGCACTTAGTTTCTTTATCTTCAAATTATCAGAGGATGGTTTAAACTGATCATTCTTTCAAAGTAACAGTGGACAATTCAAACTTACCACCTTAGTGGAGGGTCTACTTTCTTCCAACATCACAGTAAAAGTGTGACTGCTTTTTGCTTCACGATCTAGTCCTTGCTTGGTAAAAATGTCCCCTTCCTATACGTCAACAAAACAATATGTTAACAGCCTTGTCCCCTTCCTATACGTCAACAAAACAATATGTTAACAGCCTTGTCCCCTTCCTATATGTCAACAGAACAATATGTTAACAGCCTTGTCCCCTTCCTATATGTCAACAGAACATTATGTTAACAGCCTTGTACCCCTTCCTATATGTACAACAGAACAATATGTTAACAG